GGGGGGGGACACTGGGACATCAGGGGGACCATGGCGGGGGGTGGCAGGGACATGGGGGGCACAGGGACATGGGGGCACAGGGACGGGGGGGGGACACTGGGACATCAGGGGGACCATGGCGGGGGGTGGCAGGGACATGGGGAGGACATGAGATGTTGGGACACTTGGCAGAGGGACACAGGGCTGGGGAGGACACCAGGGGACACACAAAGGGATGTCCTTGATTTGGGGAGGTGACATAGGGGTGACACTGATGTCCCCACGGGGGGGTGCAGGGTGGGTGTTCGGGGGGCTGTTGGGGGCTGTCAGGGGGTGCTGGGGGGTCTCTGTGGTGGCAGAGGGACACCAGGGGTGGCAGTGACACCATGTCCCTGTGTCACCCCCAGGCAGGACCCAGGGGGACGCCCCCACTTTGAGGAGGTGCTCGGAACAGGGGGGGACCCCGAGGACCCCAACCCCCAGCAGGACAGAGTTGACGGTGAGGGGGGTTGGGGTGGTCCCTGGGGAGTTCTGAGGGGTTTGGGGTCTCTTGGGGGACCATGTGGGAACCGGGGGTGCCCGGGGAGGGTCCCTGTGGGTGCTGGGGGGGAATTTGGCGTCCTGGGGACATCACCCATGGGTGCTGGGGGGGGATGCTGGGGGGTGCAGGGGAGGAACTGGGGGGTGTTCTCAGTTGTTTTCTGGGGGGTCACTGACCTTGTCCCTCCCCCCAGGGCTGCGGCAGCGCCGGGGAGCCCCAGAGAAAGGGGGGGCCCCCGCCCGGCCCCCCCCAGACCCCCTGGGCTGGTTCGGGGTGCTGGTGCCCCCCAGCCTGCGGCAGGCACAGGGCAGCTTCCAGAGGGGTGAGAATGGGGGCCTGGGACTGGGGGGCGCCTGGGGGGGGCCCAAAACTACAGGGGATCTGGGGGACCCCTGAACTCTGGGGGGAACTGGGGGATCCGAACCAGAGCGGTCCCCCAAAGCAGGGGGAGGGTCCCCAAACCGTGGGGGTCCCAAATCTGGGATGTCCCCAAAGAACGGGGGATCAACCAAAACTGGGAAGGGCCCAAAGGTCATGACCCCATGTGACCCCTCTGGCCCCCTGGCCCCAGGGGTGACACTGGCCGTGGAGGTGGCCGAGCTCCAGGGCACCGTGGACGCCGCGGCCACGCGGTACCGGCAGCTCCTGCGGCAGAAACGGCTCCTGGCCAGAGAGAGGGGGGACACAGAGACCCCCGGGGACACCGAGACCACGGGGATGCCGGGTGATGTCAAGACCCAAGGGGACACTGAGGGTGGCACAGTGACCACGGGGGACACGGGGACTGCGTGACACGGACACTGAGAGCACCAGGGACGCTCTGCAGGTGACATGGGGGACACAGAGGAGCACAGGTGGCACCACGACCCACAGGGACACAGGTAACATGCTGACCCTTCCCAGGTGACACGGAGCCTTCCCAGGTGACGCAGCGCCTGCCTGCGGGTGACACCGAGCCCCTCGAGGACCCTGCAGGTGACACAGACCCACTTGTGGGTGACACGGAGCCCCCAGGGACCCCGTGGGTGACACTGAGCTCCAGCAGTGGGTGGCAGTGCTGTCACCACCCTCGTGACAGGACCACCCCAGGGCCCCCGTGTCTCCCCCAATAAAGCTGTTGTGGTGCCACCAGCGCTGTGTCCCCTCTGTCCCCAACGTGCCACCATCTTCGTGCACCCCATGTCACCTGGCAGCCATGTGGGTCCCATGTGACCCCTCCCTGCCCCGCCCCTGTCCCACCCAATCAGCGGCAGCCCCTTTGCCAACGTCTATGTTTATTGGGCGGGGCCCTCGCCCCGCCCCCAGGCCCCGCCCCCGGTGGGCGGGACCGACACAACAACGACTATGGGGAGGGGTGGGGTGCAGGGGTGTGGTCTGTGGGGGCGTGGCCGGGGCGTGGCACCCCCTAGCGGATGGTGTAGCGCACATAGGGCACCTCGATGTCGGTGTCGGTGATGTCGTTGCAGCAGAGCTCGAACACCAGCGCCTTGACGTGGCGGCCCAGCCTCCTCCTGGACACCCGGGTCACGATCTCCGTCATCCTGGGGGCAAAGCGGGGTCACAGGGGGGACAGGGGGGTCGGGGGGGCCT